TTGCCACAACCCAACAAACATATTTATAGGGTTAGCACACATTGCTATTTTCTATTTCTAATCCTACWTGTAATTGGAAAACTACCATTTTCCTATTACTTCTTGAATTAGACAATTTCCCTTTTTCTCATATCTTAAACTGACTTGTTTAAGATGTCTTGGGCCTCAAGTCATTGAAGCTTACCCAACAAATGTGATATATACGGGACCGTAGATTTCATATTCGGAAACGCAGCCACGGTTCTACAGAATTGCAATATAATTCCTAGGTTACCAAATCAAGGACAATTCAATGCCATAACGGCTCAAGGCAGAAGCGATCCAAACCAAAATACCGATATTTTGATACAAAATTTAGAATTACACCTAGTGCTGAATTGGTTTCTAGTAGTTTTCCGGTTAAGACATATTTAGGCCGGCCATGGAAAGAGTACTCGAGAACGGTTTACTTGCAAAATTTCATGGATGGATTTATTGATGCTAAGGGATGGCTTGAATGGGCGGGTGATTTCGCTTTGAAGACATTGTATTATGCAGAGTTCAAAAATACCGGACCAGGTTCAGAAATAGTTAACCGAGTTAATTGGCCCGGTTATCATGTGATCAATGAAACTGAAGCTATTTGGTTCACCGTCTCAAACTTTATTGTTGGAGATAGCTGAGCATGGGAGTTCCATATGCCAGGGTTTGATGTAATCTTCACTTATTATGGCCATTCAAACAATAAAGAGAAAATCATTTAATTAAATTATTTTTTGAATAAAATAATCATTTTGTGGTTTATTCGTAACTCTGTCATGTATAAAAGTGTTCTAATAAATCAAAATTAGAAGAAGAGAAAAAATCAAAGATTAAAGGTACATCTTGACATAAAACTAAATGTCTAAATATAGCATCTTCAAAATGACTAATTAAGTCTCTAATTTGTCTAGTTTCGTCAAGAATCTAATACAAATTTTGCAATGCAAGGAAAACAGAAAATTCACAGCCATGGCCTTTTTCACCTTTTCCACGGTTACTTTATTGGTTCACAAGAAACATCAAAATATACATATTAGGGCATGATTAATATGGGTGGTAAATAAGGGTAAATATAAGAGAGTTTTAATATTATAAAATTTTTATATTTACCCAAACCATTTTTGGATTTTTAAATATAGAATCTATATTACTCATATTTAGTGGGTAAATATAACATATCTCTCCTCTTTCTCTCTCTATTCATCAATTCCAATACAATTAATATTATAAAATTCATATATATATTATTCCAATCATATTTACTATTTATAATCATGCTCTTATTCTACACTAACACAAATATACATTTACCTTCGTATAATTTTAGTTAAAAAATCTATGTGTACTTTATTCCTTGAAAGTTCAAACCATAGTTTATTTAATCATAATCTGATTCATATAAACAATCTAAAATGGTGAAATTTTTATTAGTAATGGCCCCATGAAATTTTTAACCTCCTTATTCAATACTGTATCAAATGTTCTTCTTGTAACATAGATGTATGTTAGTTAGTAGTTACAAAACATGATTATATAATCCGGTAGAAGAAACAAACAAACGAAAATTAAGTTTTCAAAGCCCTAAAATAAGATAAATTGTTTGCCCTATTTAGAAACTCAAAAGAAAAAGAGGAGACAAGAAACTACCACAAGTCTATTTTTTATCATTGTTTACAGTTTTTCACTAGCCGAGTTTTTCGCCAAGCCATAAAAACAGAATAATCAAAATAACGAATTCATAAATAGTTTTTACCGTTATAAATAAGGTCTTGTCCACAATTATGAAAAAACTGCATACTCCCAAGGAGGCTACGTAACCTTCGAAGGAGGAGTCCATAAAGCTCACAATCACAATTTTCTCAAAGAACAAAGAACAACTCTAATCTTTTTTAATCAAATATTTTTGTAGAGTTGTTCGAGTTCAAAAACAATTTGATATAGATCGAATACACC